ATCGTTAATGAACGCATTGCCTAAATTCAGCTTCTGGGAGGGCTGCCATCAGTCTTTCTGGGAAGTTTGTCTTTCTCCCAAACTTGGCTCATCTTGAAATGCCGCACACAGGTAGCAGAACAGGTTTAGATTCCTGTTACCGAACAGGACCAAAGGTGAATACATTAGTGGAAATCCTGAGAGCTTTGAAGTTTGCAATTACAGGCCAGGGTATGGAAAAGGCTAATTGTAAAGAAGGGATCTAATTTGTTTTTCTTCCATAAGTGAATGTGATTTTACAGTTGAAAGGCCCAGATGCATCTGTGTTGTCTCAAGCTCTCCTCCCATGTGATTCTCCTTGCTGTTACTTGTACTGGTGTCTTTGATACTGAACATTTCTGATATGGCAGAAAAACAAAGGTGCTTCGGGGCTCTGGCCACCGGGGATTCAGTTGCTCTGACCAGAGGGATTGATCTTGCTGTGTAATTGCTTCTTCAGGTTATTTCTATGGATATCCATTCAATCCTTCTTTATATCTCATCCAGGTGTAACCTTACAGGTGAAGAACAACAGCAGTGCTATGTGACCTGAGGAGTGCTCATGTCTTACATTAATGTGCACTACGAATGTATACAGAATAAATGGAATATGATGATTATCCGGTGGTCCTGTCTTTTGTGTGTGGTGCAAAGAGACAACTGCACATTTCAAAGTGAGCTCTACTTTTTATTTAAAATTGAAAGCCAGGCCAACAATCACCAATTGTCCTCATGCAATTCAAGCTGGACTTCTTGCAACCTTTGTTTTCCAGGTCTCCCTTCCCTGAAGGAATAATGTCTATGTCCTTCTGTATTCTACCTGGAGCAATGGTTGCTCTCTTCCACCTGGCTAGTCTCACTGAAATAGACTTAAAAAATAAATTAAGAGAAACACGTATGCTGAGGCAGACACCTTTCCCTCTCTGTTGACTGGTGACCCATGAGGATATCTTTGCAGGGCAATTCCATGTGCTGCTTGTTTGAGCTGGAAGCTGAACTCAAAGAAATGTTTGGATGAGGTTCTCTGGCCTGTGTGATACAGGAGCTGAGGCTCTGAAGCCACTGACTCTTTCATGGAGTCTCTTTTCGGGGCAGAACCATCACTGACAGTGGATGGATGATAAGGGTATAGACCAGATTTCCACTGAGCTGAGCATCAGGAGGAAATCATGAAGTTGCCTTGGAAATTGATGTGCTATGAATGTAATTTGAACATAGCAGGAATATTCATGGTCTCTGGAGTACCTACCCTTTAAGATGGGCTGTTACCACCATGCGTAATTTAAGCTAATGGTTTGGAGTGGTGGAATTTGGGGGCTGGTGGGAAAGAGGTGCTTTTGCCAATGTTGAACAAGATGTGGCTTTACTCTTCCTGGCTGTGCTCATCTGCTCTAGGCACAGGGCCTTTCCATGGGTTCTCTGCCATCGCTCTGTGCAAAGAGTTGATTCACTGATTTTTCCAAACTCTACAGCAACTGAGAGCTAATGGTGCGTTAACATGCACAGTTTTAATTTCTTGGCTTATAAAATTTGCCCTGAAAACTGTTCCCCAGCAGGAATCAACTTAACAACAGCTAATAGGGCCATCTGTGCCTTCCTAAGTGAGCGTGCCTTCATGTGCGGTGTCCTTCCAACCCAAACCCATGTGTTTTTTTCCATCAGTGTTGTTCCATGACTTTCTAAAATGCTGGAGGTAAGAACTGGAAGGGAAACAGAGGAGATAACGCAACTGATGATAAACCCGTGTTGTTATTTCCATTCCATCCCATCCCAGGAAAACACAATGCAACATTTTTCATTTCTCTTCTAGAAAGATTTTGATAGCCCTATCAGAAAGAAGTTGAAAATAGCTTGAAAGTAGCATGGCATTTGTCACTGGTATTTGACTAGGAGTTTTCAGGATAGTCCTTAGCATTGTGGGAAAATCTCTTGTGATGGGTGCATTTCTAAACTTCAGGTGTGTGAGTGAACACTGATGCAGGAAGGTGGGGACCATTTTGGGGTGTATAAGGAGGTGATGTAGAGCTCCAGCATCAGCTTGGGGGCTGGGACTGTGCAGGGTGACTGGAGGTCTGTTCAGAAACTGCCTGCAAGAGAAGATCGTCATGTAGTGGGTGATCCTTGCCCTGGTTTGGGAAGTTAGATGTTGGACCTAGAGCCCAACAGTGTATTTCAGGAGCCATTCTCATGGTTGCGCAGGAAAAGAGGAATATTTATTTTAATGTGGATGGAAGCTGTTTGTGCACTATAAACTGTTTTGGAAATAAAACACTAAAACCAGCTTGTGCAGCGCTGAGTAAAGGATATGTGTGCTTGTGTGCTGTTCATAAACACAGCTGCTTCGGACACACGTGCCATAGTGTGGTATGCTTCCACCAACGGCTTTTCTTGGTTGGAGAACCCAAGCAGAGAGCAATTGAGCTCCAGGCAAAGTGTATATAGCTATTTTAAATTAATCACATAGAGCATGACTATTTAAATGATCAAGGGGGAGAGCATTAGCTTTGGGATTTGGCACCTTGGGGAAGGATTTTAGCTGACATGGCGCTTGTGACAGCAACAGGCTTTAATGACCAGGGAAAGGTCCTGGCAGTCCCACAATCATGTTTATTAAGTTCTGTGCTACCGTTTGTTGAGGTAAATAGCAATAGCTTGTGTCTGGGGCAGAGGTGCAGGAACTGGGGTGGTAAATTGTCCTGGAGTTGGGACCAGTCACTTCTCTGTTTTTTTGCCACGGGTAAAGCAGAGCCTAGGGCAGACTAGGAAATTCAGGGTGATGGCAATGTCTTTGAAAAGATTTCTGTCCCCTGATGGCTCTGGGACTTGTGTCTGCAGACAGGAGAGGTCTTTGGATCATGGGGGAGGCTGGATCCCACTTAGAGCCCGTTTCTAATCCTGCAAAACACTCTGTCGAGAGCTACTAGCTTTTGGGAGATGCTGCCCACCTCTGCAGTGGCTGTTGGTTTAATAGGATTTGTTGGCTCATGTTGAAAGTGCTTAAGTCCTCTGGATGGCCAGGACAGCTGCTGCTCACAGCTCATCTTGTTTGCTGGTTTTGCACCACCGCGGTGTCCCGGGAAAGGTGGTGGAGTTGGCCATGGGATGCAAAGGGGATCTGTACTCGTCTGGGAGAGACAGGGTTCTGGGCTGGGGCTGTTTGCATGTGGGCTGGGGGACTGCACCAACACAGAAAAGAAACTGGAAGCAGAGGAGGAAAGATGCCCAGAGCCTGGGCCGGAGGAGAAGTCCCGCCTTGGAGCAGCGTAGGTACGTGCTGTTGGCCGAGTCATGCTCCGTGTAGGGACGCAGGATCTCTGATATTTGAAACTGTAAATCCTGGATTCCCATTAGACTAAATGCCTCAGCAAACAAGTGCTGTCTAACTTTGGGTCAAGAAGTGCCAACAGTAGAACGTGTTTGTGCGTGCTGTAGAGGGCACCTTATTCCTTTGTCTTTTGGCAAGGCTGAGTCCCCATGGGGACCCGCAGATAACACTCAGTATATTGACGTTTTGATAACTGCTCTTTGCTTTCAGCCAGAATTTGCTTTTTATCCAATCTTAATAAGTTGATCTTTCTATCAATCCTGCTAGCAAACAAGATAATTGCTTTATTATAGTCTCAATATCCAGCAAAGGACACACACTCCCTGGTGCTCCCGAGGGAATCAAATCTGTGCAGTGTGTTGACACGGGATGAGTGCAGTGATAGCAACGCAGGGCTATCGGTGGATGATGGAGAGCACGATTTCCCCGCTGTGAAGAGCCAGGCTGCTTGGAGAGGGGATGTGAGCCAGGCCAGAGGAGGTCTAGAAAATATTTAGATTATAGCCGAAAATGGTTTGGTCCATTTGCTAGAAAATGTTTAGGTTATAACCAAAAATATTTAGGTTATGACCCAAACAATTTTTGTTCATTTGCTAGAAAATATTTAGGTTATAACTGAAAATGTTTTGGTCTGGGTGTTTGTTGGTGGTTTGGGAAGTCTGTGTTTGTGGTTCTTTTTTTCACAGAAAAAAAAAGCAAACAAGGAATTTCCTAACTTTCTGGGCTGGTGTGAGGATCCAGTGGGTGGGTTAAAGCCTGAGGGCTTCCTCCGCGGGTGGGTTAAACCTCCCCCCTGCAGAGAGGCACACCACCTGCCTTTTAACGCAGGAGGAAAGGGAATCAGTTGCTCCACAAAATAAAAAAAAAATTTTAAAAAGGGAAAAATGTGATTTCTGTCCAAAATAGTATGAAAGCAGAGGGAGGATTGAGCTGTATGACATATGGAAACGAGCTGTACCTGGAGGAGAGGATAGTGAAGGACTGTGAGGCTGATGAAGAGGTGGAGGAGCACAGACCAGAAGGCAGAACAGTGCTAGAAACTACCTATGAGAAAACAAGAGAAGAGACCTCATGGGCTCGCTGAGCCCCTGGGACGAGGAGCAAAGCAGCCAGCCCAGGCTCTTTGCGCCATGCCCTGGAAAATCCTCAACACCAGTAGCCATCCCTCCTCCGTGCCAGAGGTCCCTCCGGGCGGGCGGCCGGGCGGGAGAACGGCGGACAAAAGTCCGATGGGTTTCCATCCTGCATCAAGAGCCGCGAGCACCTTTGTTTTGGGAAAAGATTTGAACAGGTTTTGACGAACACAGATAAGGTCCCACCATGATGACGTTTGGGTCACTCCTCTCTTTGCTGTGATAAGAGCTGGTCTTTCATCAGATGGTAACACTTTGATCTTGCTGTTGAAGACGTGTGTTGCTCTATTCTCACCCAAGCGCCCCGCTAAGGACACAAACTCCTCAAAATCCTTGTGGACCAAAATACAAAGAAACCCTTGAAGCCAGGGGGTGTGTGTGGTGGTAATGGAAAAATGAGGTCAGCAGATAAGGAGGGGGGGTCTCACTGCTTCCCAGTATAAAACTGGGCAGTCTGGGCAGCTCGGCCTGTCTGCTGTAGTTTCTGAGAAGGTGTGCGTGGACTGGCGGACAACTCCTGCACCATGAAGTGGCTCATCCTGGCCCTGGTCTGTCTCCAGCTCTCAGAGGGGTTGGTGAGGTGAGTGTCCTGCAGCAGCCGCTGCGGCAGAACGACTGGGGAGAGGGTAGATAACAAAACCCGGCTGCAGTTGTAACCTGCACAGGCTGTTCTGCATCCCCAAGGATGCTGACCAAGTCTAACCAGGTATGACTCCAGCCTCCTGCATCTCCACAGATCATCGTGGTCCCAGTCCAGGCTGCATCCCTTGCTGGGAGGGAAGCCCCTGGGGACGTACGAGGCAGCTGAGTGGAAGGCTCCCATTGTGGCAGGGTTCAAAGGAGCCCAGAGAACAGATCATTTGAAAATGCCCAAATTTTCTGATTTCCTGATGTGTTTTGTTGTTTGTTTTTTGTTTTTTGTTTTTCCTCTGTGCAGAATCAAACTGCAGAAAGCCAAGTCTATACGGGAGAAAATGAAGGAGGCTGGAGTGCTGGAGGACTTCCTGAAGAAAATTAAATATGATCCAGCTAAGAAATACCACTTCAGTGAGGACTATGTTGTGTACGAGCCGATGACTAGCCACCTGGATGTGAGTACCCCAGGTTCCCCTCTCGCTGCCTGTCCGTACACCACGCTCCCCTTTCCCTCCTCCTTCCCAGCTGCCAGAGCGATCTGTTCACCCCTGAGCCTCCAGGAGTGACAGATTCCTTTCTTTCCACTCTTTTTTAAGCTTCTGTTTTAGACTTTAGAAAATTTCCCCCCCCCAGCCATGAAGAGCGGTGCTTTTCTGTATGTGACAAAAGATATAACAAAATAAATATTTAATATTACGTCTTTCGGGAGGAAAAGCAGGGTGAGTTTGGTCCGTTCCTGCCTACTTTGTTATTTGCAGGAGTGAGCCTGGCATTCCCCACCACCCTGCAAAGCACTGGGATGCCGGCACAGGGCTGGGAGGCAAAAGCCTGGTCTATCCCTGACCCTGTGGCCAATGGAGAGACCCCATCTCTTGTCTGCAGTCCTTCTACTTCGGGAATATCAGCATGGGGACCCCCCCGCAAGACTTCTTGGTGCTTTTCGACACCGGCTCCTCCAACCTGTGGGTGCCTTCCATCTACTGCCAGACGCCGGCGTGCTGTGAGTACCGCAACCGCGTTGCACAGAGCTGCCCCAGCAGCACAGCGTAGCGGGGAAATCACGATGCCAGACCAAAAATGATCCCGGCATGCTGCTCTGGGATAGCTGTTCCCTGGTACCAGCTGGTGCATTCCTTGGAAACACGGAGCCCTCTGCCATTATGTGCCTGGCTAATGAAGATGGCCGAATCACTACGGCCATGGTGGGTGTCCCCAGGTTGCAGAAATCTCCATGGTTGTGCCTGACCTTTCGTGGCAGGGCAGAGGGAAGAGCAAAGCTACGAATTGCGGAGCTGATGTCCCGCTCCCTGGCAGAGCTCATCCGATGTAACTTGCTGATGGTGGGAGAGCGATGGGGATTTAACTGCTGATGGCTTTGCTCGTGCTGGGTGGCTGATGTGGTTGTGATCACAACAGCTGTTCCCTGCAGAGGGATCCAGGCAAAACCGGGATGCCAGCCCTGCCTTCGAGATAACTGCGAGGCAGAGAAACAGACTGTTTCGCTCTTCGCGACTTGCTCTGCTGGGGAAGCTGCTTTCCCAGGCGTTATCCCGGCAGAGTGACTGGCAGTGAAATCCCACCGGGGCCAGGCGAGCGTGTGCCCAGGAGCTTTGCCCTCTTCTCTCTCACGCAGCCGACCATGCAAGGTTCAATCCCAGTGAGTCCTCCACCTTCACCTCCAACGGCCAGTCCTACACCCTCTCCTACGGCAGCGGCTCGCTCACGGTGGTGCTGGGCTACGACACACTGACGGTGAGTGCACCCCATGCCGTCCTTGTGTGCCTGGGCACTGTGTCCCCAGCACCAGCTGGGTGTCCCGATGGAAGGACCCTGGGGGACAGCCTAAGGGCAGATCTCGTGTCTCTTGTAGCCAAGACTTGGGCAAACCAGGGCCTGAGATGGGCAGAACTGATATAAAGTGGTTATTGCCACCGTCAGTTACCCGGCTGTGTTTTTACTTTGTTTTAACCCAATTCCTGCTAATTTTCCCAGCTGCTTGGTGATGCTTTCACCAGCTATGACCTTGCAGTGTGTTCTTTGGGCTTTCAGAGCATCAGTCATCCCATCCGACGGCTGCTCGGGTTTGCCTAAGCATGTGGGCTGACCTGGCGTCCCTTTCCCCTCCAGCTCCAGAGCATCGCGGTCTCAAACCAGGAGTTCGGGCTCAGCGAGAGCGAGCCAACCGAGCCTTTCTACTATGCTGATTTTGATGGGATCATGGGAATGGGCTACCCCTCACTGGCGGTGGGAGGGACACCCACCGCGCTGCAGGGCATGCTGCAGCAGAACCAGCTCACCCAGCCCATCTTCAGCTTCTACTTCTCTCGGTAAAAATCTGCTGGGACCCTCTGCACGTCCTGTGTGCACCGGGGTCCCTCTGCCTGTCCCCATGCAGGTTCCCTGTTAATTTGTCCCTCACTAGCCCATGCATATCGCACCCATTTACAATCTCTGCTGCTGTAACTCTGTGTTTTTGCAGCCAACCCACCTACGACTACGGGGGAGAGCTCATTCTCGGAGGAATTGACACTCAGCTCTTCTCTGGGGACATTGTGTGGGCACCAGTGACCCAGGAGCTTTACTGGCAGGTGGCGATTGATGAGTGAGTTGTGTTTGTACCTGATGGGCATCATCCACCTGGGCAGCTCACGTAATGAGGGTGGTAGGGCTGTCCTGCAGATGAAGCTGCAGCTATTGCAGCAGGCATGGGTTCGAGGCAGGGGTTAGGCACTGCATTTTGGAGCATCCCAGACTTATGGATCCAGCCAAGACAGGTTTAGTTGCCAGTGGGTGCTTAAAGTGACGTCCTTCTCCCTGCTCTCCTCCCAGGTTTGCTATCGGGCAGTCAGCGACCGGCTGGTGCAGCCAGGGCTGCCAGGCCATCGTGGACACAGGGACGTACCTGCTGACGGTGCCCCAGCAGTACATAGGCGTCTTTGCTCAGGCTCTTGGTGCCCAGCCGACCAACGAAGGTGTAAGTGCAGGGGATGCTTTGGAGGTGCGTGTGGAGTGGGGGGGGCTTGCAAGCGAGCCAGAAGCCGTGGGCTTGACCGGGTCCCACGAAACTTGTGTGGCATCTATGGAACATCGTACTGCAGGCGTGTCAGGGAAGGACGAGGCGGCATGGCACTGTCAGGGGTTAAAGTGTATGTTACCCCTGCATACGGGAGGATCTCTCCTCTCACAGTGGGTGCTGTTCCAGCCATAACCTCCTCTTCACCCTCTCTCCGCAGTATGCAGTTGACTGCAGTGAGACCCAGAACATGCCCACCATCACCTTCGTCATCAACGGAGCTCAGCTCCCACTCAGCCCCTCCGCCTACGTCTCGAACGTATGTATTAGCTGAGCAGCTTCATCCTGCTGAGTCCTTGAGGGCCAGGAAAGGACCTGGTGCTTCTTGACAAGTAGCAATGCTCTCCCTGCCTGTGTGGGCAGATCCTACCTCCCTGCAGCCCACCTGGCAGGGTCCTGGTGCTTGTTTGAGGCTCTGACTCCCCGTTATTCCCCCCTTACAGAACAACGGCTACTGCACTCTTGCAATTGAGGAGACCTACTTGCCTTCCCAGAACGGGCAGCCGCTCTGGATCTTGGGTGATATCTTCCTGAAGGAGTATTACACCATCTTTGACATGGGTAACAACAACATTGGCTTCGCCTCGTCGGTGTAGAGGAGCAGAGCAGCAAAATCCAGCCCTTCTCCTGGCCAAACACACCTTAGCCAGCAGTGCTGGAGCACTACAGGGTCCCTATGGACTTCTATGTTCCTTTACATGTCTGCATGGTTCCCTATCCCTCCAGGATTTCTGTGTGTGTTCTCACAGTCTCCTGTTACAAATAAACGCCAGCATCCCAAATAGTCTCTGACCTTCTGAGTTTGTTGAGTGACAATTGAGCGTGGACCGATGGGTTGCGTGTCTCAGACACTCTTTCTCCAGCAAGAAAGATAAGCGCTGTGATAAACTCCTAGGCACATTTCTGCAGAGTCAGCACGGGGAAGGCGGTGCGGAAGCTGTCCCTGGACTGCTTCAAATATTTATGTTTGTTGCAAAGGGGTATGACGCGCTGTCGACTCCTAATGGCTGTGGGACTGAGTCCCAGCCTTTATCTATAGTGAATTATTGAGCTTGGGGATGGCTCCGAGCTGCAGCTCAGCTCACAGCCCGATGGGCCCAGGGACAGGAGTGACCAGCCTTTCCCCATGCTGGTGCCCGGGGTAGCTCCTGCAGACGGTGCAGCCCAGCTTCCAAGCCCTTGGGTATGAAGATGTCCCACAGCCCAGCCCCGTCCCATCTTGCAAGGCTTGTGTGGCTCAGCTGGGGGCTGTAGACTTTGTGTGTTGGAAAGCAGGCAGCTGCCGTCCCCCAAATCCCGGCTGCTGCCTTTGGACCTGGCTGCATGCCGCTGTGGTGGGTTGACCCCGGCTGGATGCCAGGCGCCCACCAAAGCTGCTCTGTCACTGCCCTCCTCAACTGGACAGGGGAAAGAAAATATAACGAAAGGCTTGTGGGTCGAGATTAAGCACAGGGAGAGATCACTCACCAGTTACTGTCATGGGCAAAGCAGACTCAGCTTGAGGAGATTAATTTATTAATAATCAACTCAGAGTAGGGTAATGAGAAATAAAAACTAAATCTCAAAACACCTTTCCCCACCCCTCCCTTCTTCCCAGGCACAGATTCACTCCCGAATTCTCCACCTCCTCCCCTCCCAGGGGCACAGGGAATGGGGGTTATGATCAGTTCATCACACATCTCTGCTGCTTCATCCTCTTCAGAGGGAGGATTCCTCACTCTTCCCCTGTTCCAGCGTGGGGTCCCTCCCACGGGAGACAGTCCTCCACGAGGGAGACAGTTCTCCACAAACTTCTCCAAAGCGAGTCCTTCCCACTCAGTTCTTCACAAACTGCTGCAGCGTGGGTCCCTTCCCCGGGCTGCAGTCCTTCGGGCACAGACTGCTCCACCGTGGGTCCCCCGTGGGGTCACAAGTCCTGCCAGCAAACCTGCTCCAGTGTGGGCTTCCCACAGGGTCACAGCCTCCTTCAGGCACCCACCTGCTCCGGCGTGGGGTCCTCCCCCGCTGCAGGTGGAGATCTGCTCCCCCATAGACCTCCCTGGGCTGCGGGGGGACAGCCTGCCTCACCGTGGTCTTCATCACCACGGGCTGCAGGGGAATCTCTGCTCTGGCGCCTGGAGCATCTCCTCCCTCTCCTTCTTCACTGACCTGGGGGTCTGCAGGGCTGTTCCTCTCCCATATTCTCACTCCTCTCTCTGGCTGCAGTTGTGCAGATTTTTTTTTTTCCCCCTTCTTAAATACGTTACCCCAGAGGCACTACCACCATCGCTGATGGGCTCAGCCTTGGCCAGCGGCAGGTCCGTCTTGGAGCTGGCTGGCACTGGCTCTGTCGAGCATGGGGGAAGTTTCTAGCAGCTTTGCACAGAAGCCACCCCTGTAACCCCCTGCTACCAAAACCTTGCCACGCAAACCCAATCCACCGGCTTCTGTTCTCCTTATCCTCAACGAGGGACAAGCCCCGCATGAGTGTCCCGAGCCCGATTCCTGCAAGGGCTTTGCTTTGCAGGTGAGAAGCACCACGCTCCAGGCTGCGGTGCAGGGGATCAGGACACCAAAAGTCACTGGGGTTGTTGGTCTTAAACACCAACTACAGCCCTGGGGACGGGAGTTCCCCAAGGGATTCCCCAAAAAAGCCAGTTCTGCTCTGTGCCGTCAGGCGCTGATGCGTGTCTGCAAATGCCGTGTGAGTCCCTAACAGGGTGATACGGCTTCGTCCTCCTCCAGCTGCTGTTTGCTGCCGGGCTGCACTAAGTCACTTTAGGGAGATGCTCGCCAAGCACCTACTCAGGCACGTATAGAGTTAGCCGGTAGCAGTGGACATTGCTTTGCTTGCAGTTTGTGGTGACCTTGGAGTGACCACAGGGACACGCCGTCCTGGCTCTTGCTGCTGCTGGTACTTGCAGGGCTGAACTGATCGCTCCGACCGGCCGAGGATAAAGTCGCGGGGCCGGTCAGTCCCCACCTCTGTCCCTCTCGCTGGGCATTGGGAAACCTCATCAGAAGTGCGTGTGGGAAGCCACTAATCTTCCTTGCAGCTGGATAAGGTTTAACAAAGTCCTGTGATTAAGTCAAAGTGGGAATATGAGGCCAGATTAGGTTAGCCATGACATCCAAATGACCCCTAAATCCTGAAGCGGGGCTATTCAGTCAGGTAAAACAACAGCCAGAGTATCGGGAATCATGGTCTGTGGCCAAAGGGGAGAGGGAACACCTTGGCTGGGAGAAGCTCGGGTAGCACTGCTCTTTCCCGGGATCCAAACTTGTTTCTTAGAAGCTCTTTATCACTGGAGCTCATTATCAGATATATTAATAGCTCTGTCATTTCACCAGAGAAAGGACACAAACTCCTCTGTGCTTTGTGTCAAAATATTGACACAGGCTGAGCGCAGTGAGACGGAGATTAGATAGGCACGGATAGGAGGGAAGGGCATTTCTCCTACCCTACGAAATGGGGAGGTTTCTGAGTTGAGGCTGCTCTGGCAGCAGCGGTGGCAGGAAGGGACAGGCGAAGGCTGACCATGTCCCTGCTGATCTTTGCTCTTCCCTTTGCTCCCTGCAGGACCTGTCCAAGCAAAGGCAGATCCATCGGGATGCGATGGAGGAGGAAGGGGCGCTGGGGGGGTTTCCTGAGCCGCCACAGGCTCAAAGCACCGGTCCAATGCCGACAGCTCGGGTGGAAGCAGCAAGGCTCTCCTGGGGTCCAGCCCCACTGGTGGCAGGGACTGGGGAGTCCACAAGTGCCCTATGGCAAAGGACAGTGGGGCTGCTCCTGCCCGACCCCGGGGACCGGACCCCTGCCTGCTCCCTGCACCCTGGGGTGTGTATGTTGGTGACCCCCCGTGGGGTCAATTCAGATCTGGGGAAAGATTTTGGTCCCAGCGAAATGGAAGCAGGACCACAGCGTGTGACGGGTGCTCGAAGCAATACACGTTGAAGCGCATGGTGAAGGTGGAGCTGGCCCAGCGCTGCGTCCCCCCGTCCCCCAGGCAGAAGGGGCTGAGCAGCCTCAAGCTTTCGGTCCAGCTGGGGCCCCTTTGCGGAGAGCTTTGCACAGAAAACCTCCCATGGTTGTCTCCTCAGATTTTCCATGGGAGATGAGGCCATTAGCCAGCGCAGATGAGGCTTCCAGAGTGATGGGGACAATCACTGTTCCCTGGCAGTGCATGGCAGAGTTTCTGCAGGCAGTGAGTGCCCAGGCGTCACAGTACAAGGCTGAGCAGCATCCTCGGGGTAGCAGATGCCAGGATGGGTCCTCAGTGACCTGGCAGGGCTGGCTGGCTGGTAGCACCTTCCCAGGGGAGGAAAGGGTCTCCCGGGACTAAAAATCCCCTGCGAATGAGTGCCGAAATACATGCTCCCTGCATCTCTCCAGTCTGGGAATGACCAGCATCACTCAAAGCATATGGGAGACATCACCTCTAACGCACCAGATGTGTGACCTGAGCACCCTTGGTGTAACTCCGACATAGATGATAAACTGCAGCAAATCAAAGCAAATCCCTCTTTTGGAGATGGTTGAGTGGTTGTAACTGGGCAGGTAAAGGCCAGTTACGTCTTTCAGGGCCGCTATAGTGAGCAGTTTCTAGCCCCCATCTCAGCTTCTTCGGGGGGGCGGTATTAGCAGAGCTGGAGGGCAGGATGACAAAAGGACAAATGCCTGGGAAGAGAGATAGTTTTGGGGGTATGTGCTGGTTCCCAGGAGGCTTGGAGCTGGGCTGAAAACCCACTGCTGCTGTTTCCTGCTAGCTGTGTTGAGGGAATTGGATGTAACACAGTCTGTAGATTTGGATGGAAGAAATACTGCTGGCCCGTGGCACTTCTTTGGCTGCCTGGATGGGTCAAAAAAGGAACACCGGCATCACAAATTTCCATTTGCTATAAAGGGTGTGTTTTGCCTTTGTTTTCTGGAAAGGTCAAGCTGGTGCTGAAGGCAAGAGGAAAATACTCTGACTTCTTGATAACAGCATTTTGCTTTTTATCAGATGTCACATATTTGGTCTCGGTATCAGATGTACTGGTCAATCTGTTAGTGCCCAAACAACTGCGTAAAGAGGCAAAATCAGGGCGGCTGCGGAGATTAAACACACCACAAGCGTTAGTGTTGGGTGGCTGCAGCAACAGAGGAAAGGGGTGTCTGGAGCAAGGGGCTGTGCACAGCTCCTGCCTATATATACCCTGCCCTGGCCGAGGTAGCGCAGGAACGGCCATGGACTCCCTGGCACCCAGAGCCATGAGGTGGCTGGTACTAGCCCTGCTCTGCCTCCAGCTCGGGGAGGGCATGGTGAGGTGAGCCCTGGGGCCAGGATGGGTGCGAGGGTGCAGGGTCTGGCCATGGAGCGGGGCTTGCCCTCAGTACATGGGGGTGCGTGTGTGGATGGGGCCCCCCCGGCCACTCGGTGCCATCTCCATCCCGTGCAGGATCCCCCTGAGGAAAAGCAAGTCGGTGAGGGAGTTGATGAGAGAGAAGGGGGTGCCGGAGGGTGTCCTGAAGGGCCTCAGAGGGGACCCCGGTAGGAAATACCAGTTCAGCAACGCTGTGACTTATGAAACGCTAACGAACTACCTGAACGTAAGTATTAAAGCTTTTCCTTCCTCCTCTGAGCCACCTGGCTCTGGTTTTCGGTGATGCCCTCCTTCTTTCCCGGCTGCCTGCGGGATGCTCTGCAGCGAGCGGTTATAGGGCAGACCTACTACTCCTGGCCTTGCTGCTGACTTTCTTACATTGTAGGCAAATCATTGTCCCTTTCTCTGCTTTAGCTGTCCTGGATGCACTCAAGGACTACCTTACTACTATGACTCCTTAACAGTCTGGGTTTCTCAGCTGGCAGAGGGCAGAGAGCTGAAAACTCTCATTCAAAATACCAGGCAGAAACAGAAATCCACCAATGCTCTCGTTTACAGTCCTTCTACTTTGGCGAGATCAGCATCGGGACCCCTCCGCAAAATTTCCTGGTGATCTTTGACACTGGCTCCTCCAACCTGTGGGTGCCCTCCACCTACTGCCAGGCTCCAGCCTGCGGTGAGCATCCCTGGGGGACACAGCAGTGCTGGGGACTGGGGGTCCCCACCTCTCAGCGCTCTCGGACATCCCTTGCATGCTGCGGGCTGGAGCTATGACGGGGAAATCAGGGAGAGCCGATGGGGTCCGGTGTTTGCTCTCTGCTCGGTGACACCGACGGGGCTGGTTTTGGATGACCCCTTCCCTGTGAAGCCCTTTGCTGGGGATTTCTACCCTTGTGGGGACAGGGATGCTGAACCAAGGGCAGGATCTGACCTGGGGGCTGTGACCTTCTCTCTGTGCAGTGAATCATAACAGGTTCAACAGCAGCCAGTCGTCCACATTCTCGGACATCGGTGTGACCTACACCCTCAGATATGGGTTCGGTGACGTGTCGGTGGTGTTGGGGTACGACACCGTGACAGTAAGTGACTTCTGATGTGTTGGTACATTGCTGCAATCAGGGAAAGAAGTGACTGCAGTTATGATCGGTCCAATTCGGTTAAAAATTAGAGGGTGGCTGAAAGTGCCTTCTTATTTTGGATATTAGTGCCTGAATGTCCCATGTTGAGTTTATGGTGTGTCAGCATAAATTTACTCGGAGACTGGGATACAAAACCAAACTCAGTCCAAGTTCTCTGGGCTTTTTATCACTGCTTTGGGCTAAGGGATGTCTTTGGCCATAGGTGTTTGCTTTTTATGCTGATGGCTGAGGTTTGTCATTACAGGACGTAAGAAAAGTTCTGTTGTGAGACTTGCATGCGGTGGAAGTGTGATTTTAAACTAATTTAACTGAGGCAAACAGTTTTTGTGGGTATTTTTGTGAAATAATAAGGGTGATGGGACAAAGACTATGAGCTAGGCTGCTCCCGACTCCATCTCCCAGCTGTGATGGGGAAGAGCTCAGCACCTCTCAGCGCAGATTTACCTTCGTGACCTTCCTGGCCACCCCTGCCTCTCCCCAGAAACTCCCTGGTGGGATGTTGCTGTCAAGGGGGATGTCCAAAACACTGGCATCCTCCAGCATCTTTCCTCTCCCTCTAGATCCAGAACATCATTGTCAGGAACCAGGAGTTTGGCCTGACCCTGGATGAGCCCAGCAGCCCCTTTTACTACCTGGACTTTGATGGGATTTTGGGCATGGCTTACCCGGCCATCGCCATCAGCGGTTACAACACGCTGATCCAGAACATGATGCAGCAGAGCCAGCTCACCGAATCCATCTTCAGCTTCTATTTCTCACGGTGAGACCTTTGACAGCGGGTCTCTCTCTTGCATAGACACAGCCTGGATCCACCCTTTTCTTCACTCACTCTCCATCCACATGTTCTCCCCACGCACCTGTATGCTACACTGCTCTCTGCCGAGCAGCCTGCCTGATCTGGGGTTTAATTTCGTGTCTTTCCAGCAACCCGACATACAATTACGGCGGGGAAGTCATCCTTGGAGGGATTGCCCCCCAGCTGTACTCTGGGGAGATTACATGGGCTCCTGTGGTCGAGGAAGTGTACTGGAAGATCGGTATTGAGGAGTAAGTGCCGCACCGCAGCTTGGAGTGGGTCTTGGAGGCAGGGAGCCTTTTCTGATGCCTTTTTTGCTGCTCTCTCCAGGTTTGCCATCGGGTCGTCAGCCACCGGCTGGTGCAGCCAAGGCTGTCACGGCATTGTGGACACTGGGACGTTCCTGCTGACCATCCCAGGACAATACATGTCAGCCTTCCTGCAGGCGCTGGGTGTGGAGGAGAGTGAGGACGGGGTAGGTGGGAAGGATGCCCTGCACACACAAGGGGCTGGTGCCGTGGGACGAGAACACATCTGGGTGGTAATGCTGAGCTGTGGGGGGGGCTCCCAGCATCTCTGGAGCAAAGCATCTCACCTGAAACAACACTGCAGTGGTGTATCTCCCCTTGCAGTGGTGTAAAATAAAAATAATTCTTCCAAACACGAGAACCCAAGGTGAGCACAGCCCTGCCGCAGTCAGAGCTGTGCTGACCCTTAGGGAGCATGGCCGAGATTACAGCTGGAGGAAGGATGGTGCCCAGCCCCGGGGTCCTGACCCCTCTGTCCGTTTTTGCTTCTTTTGCAGTTCATTGTCAACTGCAACTACGTCCCGAGCATGCCCAGCCTCTCCTTTGTCATCAGCGGAACCCAGTTAGTGCTGCCTCCCTCGGTCTACGTCTTAAACGTAAGTGTGATTTTACCATTCCCAGCAGGCGTTTGCCATCATAGGGCAGTTTTGCCCAGGAGAAAGTCAGAGTTTCTTTTCAAGTGCAGAGGCTTCCAGCAGCCTGAGTGCCATATTTCCCAGCACCCAATTTCATGGTGCTTTTGCATGCCTGCATGTGACTGTAAGGAGGGTCTAATCCTGCTCCCAGCCAAAGCAGCCATGAAGGCACGGGCAGCACAAATTCCCTGCGCTACTCACTGGCACTGAAATTTGCTCCTTTTGCCCTGACAGGACAACGGCGTCTGCACCGTTGCGGTCGAGAGCACATACGTGTCGTCTTCCAGCGGCCAGCCGCTCTGGATCCTCGGCAACATCTTCCTTCGGCAGTATTACTCCATCTTTGACATAGCCAACAACAGAGTTGGCTTTGCCCTGTCAGCCTAGGGATGCTGAGCATCACCCGTGGGATAATTTGTCCCTGCAACACCTTATCCTCCCTTGGACCCCTGTGCTGATAAGTAGTATCCAAATCTTCTGTAGTCAATAAAGGGCTGCAAATCTAACTGCCTCGTGTCTCATCTGGCTGTGGCTGAGCAGAATCTGGCTCAGCTCTTCCTGGCAAGACAACAAAATCTGAGTTCATGCTCAAGGTTTCCAGGCACTGCATGGGCTTTCAGATGTGCATGGAGCCTTTGAATTTGCAGGAATGACAAACTTGGGGTCACCTTTTTGATTGGGACCCGGATCCCTGCTGGGGCTGTCTGGGAAACCGGGGTGACCAGGAGAAATTCAGGCTGTACCGTGTGCTCAGCTGTGGCTCAGGGACCCCAGGGCTGAGCTGGTGCGGTCGCTGGAGGCTTCAGAAACCAGTTCGGAGCAGGTTGTGCAGAAAAAAGGAGCTGTGTGTGAACAGTTCATTAGGTTTGGGGGAATTGCCCACACGTATTTGCAAATAAATTAGGGATTAAAAAGTGTCATGCAAGGACACTCAGGCTGAGGAAAATGCCCTGCTTTTGTTCTCGAGGGGTAAATCTCTTCATTGCTGCAGCCTCGAAGGATGGGCGATGAAAACGAAGGAGGTGGCGTGCCTGGGACACGGATGTGACCACAGCTTGGGGTCTCTGGATCCCCTTCAAGAGGAGCTGCCGGATGCAGCATCAGACAGATCGGGCCAGCGCCGGGTGCCCGGACCGGACCCAAGAGGCTGGTCCTCAAGGTCCAGTGCGAGGCAATGCACGGGAGATGCAGCGCTGAAGGGCCCATCGCCCGTTGTCTGACACCCATCTCCCAGTCAGATGACAGTCACCCCGCTGGGGCATGTGACTGCCTGTTAAATCTGCTGTTTCCAGCCAAATCTGCCATGGCTTGTCCTGCAGAGCGGGGAGTTCCCAGCCACGGAGAGAGAAATGCCATCCTGCTGCCAGGGGCAGCGCGGTGGCAGGGTCACGCCGTGCCCTGGGCACTCGGGGTGCAGCAGGGCTCGCTGCCTCCGGCTGGGCAGGGTCCCCAGTGCTCTGTCCCACTGCCACCCCCAATCCACGGAGAATTCATCTCCCACGGAAAGGTCCACAGTCCCCACACAGTTTGCCCTGGCAGCTGCCAGACCCCGAGGGTCCTGTCTGGAGGGGGCCAAGCATCCCCGTTCCTCGAGCCGGCACACGCTGCTAATGCTCCCCACCACCCTGCACGTCTCCAGGTCGCTGCTAACCCTCTGTGGCCACCACAAGCCTCTGGCACCAGTGCAAGGAACTGCGTGATTCCTCTGCAAGGAGTGGCAAAAGCCTGGTGCAAGGAGCTGCACGAGCCTGGTGCAAGGAGCGGCATGACCCTGGCGCAGGGAACCGCGTGACCCCGGTGCACGGAGCTGCGCGACTTGGGTGTGAGGGGCTCCATGACCCCAGTGCAAGGGGCTCCGAAACCCTGGTGCAAGGTGCTGCACAACCCGGGTGCAAGGAGCTGCACAATAGCTGTGCAAGGGGCTACACGACCCGGGTGCAAGGGGCTGCACGACCACAGTGCAAGGGTCTGCACGACACGGGTGCAAGGCGCTTCATGACTCGGGTGCGAGGGGCTCCACGACCCCGCTGCAAGGGGCTGCACAACGCCTGTGCAAGGGGCTCCGAAACCCCAGTGCAAGGTGCTGCACGACCCCAGTGCAAGGGGCTGCACGACACCTGTGCAAGGGGCTCCGAAAACCCAGTGCAAGGGGCTGCACGACCCCGCTGCAAGGGGCTGCACAATGCCTGTGCAAGGGGCTCCGAAACCCCAGTGCAAGGGGCTGCATGACCCCAGTGCAAGGGGCTGCACAACCCTGGTGCAAGGCACTGCATGACCCCGGTGCAAGGGGCTGCACGACCCTGGTGCAAGGCACTGCACGACCCTGGTGCGAGGGGCTCCGAAACCCCAGTGCAAGGTGCTGCACGACCCGGGTGCAAGGGGCTGCACGACGGCTGTGCAAGGGGCTGCACGACCCCGGTGCCAGGCCCTGCCCTCACCCCCCGCCCCGGCACCCACCCTCTTGGCCCGCTCCGGGGGAGGAAATCACCGAGCCCCCACTCGTGCCGTGGCCGAGGCGGGGGACTACAAGTCCCGGCAGGCGCGGGCAGCCCTGCCCCGCTCCGGACTACAGCTCCCGGCGTGCTGCGGAGCGGAGCGGGCCGGG